TGGGACCACGGAGGAGGGCTCCTGGGTCCCTCAGTCCTGGCCTTCCCCCAGCCGCGCTCCAGGATGGAGACGGGAGACCCTCTCTGCTCCGGTCTGCCACCAGGTCTGTCGCTGCCCGAGCAGGGACACGCATACGGCTGCTGAATCCTATCCGGGCAGGCGGCACCTGATCCTTGCCGGTCCGAGATGCCTGGCATTGCTGTCCTTGGGACCACGGCACCACAGGCAGCAGAGTCTGTGCAGCTTGTCATGCTGATCCAGAAAAAATGATCTGAAGCACAAGGGGACATGCTTCCTCCTCGGAGGCTGCAGTTGCATACGGCAGCAGTGAGTCTTAAGCCAAAGTAAATCTCCATGAAGAGTTCCTTGCAACCTTTAATTAAGGGGGCCTACTCCCAGCAGGCCTGCTGATGTCCAATTCCTCCTCCTCCACGTGCGCATGAGCCATATATGCTGATGTGAATTCTGCCCTCACACAGAGAAGTCCTTAATTTACTGCTTCCTAAAGACTAGAGGTTTGAAAACATGCTTGCAAATGGAAAGCAGAAGGCCAGAGCCAAGTACCCGACTGTTTTGAGAAATACCATTGTGCTTCTTAAATTCAGATTAACGCAGATGTGGAAGGAATCAAACACTTATCCTCAGACATAGCGCTTTGTCTTTACCCCGATTGCTTGGTTCTTCCATTTTGGCCGTAGAAATCCCTTGCATCTGTGCAAAAGACTACAATAAAACTCTCGCGTTTGTCAGTGGGGTAGGCGATGCTACACTCCCTCCTCGTGTTCCCTGAACGGCGTGGTCCTCTTTTCCGTCCCAACAAGCTCTTTGTTCTCACCTTCAGCTTGCTCAGTTTTCATTTTCTCCAGCTCGATTCTGCCTTCTACCCGGTCCCCAGATGAGAACGAAAGCACCGCTCAGCCTGAAGGACTTTGCCAAGATCAAACGGGAAAGCTGGGGTTGAGTCTGGGATTGAGTTCAGGTCTCCAACACCCTGTCCATCCCACTGAGCCTTCTTCTCTGGCATCTTTCTCTGACCTTAAAGCTTCAGAACTGTCCTTTCGTTTTAGCTGGTTGCGAGTGAAAGAACAGACCAGGTGGTACGGTACATGGCTTGAAGCTAATACGCTGGGGAGAGTGGTACTAATATGTGTTTTATTTTTAGACAGTGCCAGAGATATTAGTTTCAGAAAAAAACATCAGATCATTCCTTCTGATGTCTACAGTGCGTAACAGCTGCTCTAGGGGATTAGCTGTTGGCAATTTGATGGATTTAAAACCCACAGATTGCTATCACACTTATGATAATTTCTTATCAGTGTCTACCATTTAGTCAAGTTTCAAGGAATAAAGAAGTTTACATTTGGAAAAACTGTTAACTGTTAAATCTTAAAATGCAGTGTGTTTGGCAGAGTTTCAGTGAGACTGAGGTTAAACTCCACAGTTTATATCCCATTACAAATTAGAAATTTTCACTTTACATAAGGTAGAGGTGGTAGAACTACCAAACAGGCCCTTTTCCCAGCTTCTGTTCCTACGTGGCTGAGAAGTAACTGTGAAGTAAAGACTGTGTCCTGAATATGAGACAGACAGAAGAGGAATGTGAAGCTCCCATTACCAGCAATGCACATGGATTAATCTAGAGGCACAGGCAACCTTTAAGAGCAGCAGGGCACTGTGTGTAACAGCTGCTGCTGTGGGCCACTGATCCCCTCAACAGCACCCCCGCTCTCCCTGCTCTCTGCCACAGGTTACTCTTGTGCCCCCCTACTGTAGCCTCCATTTACCACAGTCACCAACTGCCGCAGGTGTCTGTCACCAACCGGCAAAGGGTAGCTGGAATTTGGCAGCAAGGCTAAGTGCAGGCTGCAGTAATGGGGTGAAAAAACAGCCCTCAGCATGGAGCAGGGAGGGCTGGGGGAGTCGAAGAAAATGAAGGTTGAAAGGGACGTGAGGAGGTCACATCTAGACCACCCCCCTGCTCCAAGCAGGACCAGCCCCAACTGCATCATCCCAGCCAAAGCTTTGTCTAGCCGGGTCTTCAAAACCTCCAAGGATGAAGAGCCCACCACCTCCCTGGGTGATCTGTTCCCATGTTTTACTACTATCCTAATGAGAAAATTCTTCCTAATATCCAACCTCAACTTCCCTTCCTGCAACTTGAGCCCATTGCTCCTTGTCCTGGTGCCTGCCCCCACTGAGACTAGTCCAGCTCCATCTTCTTTGCAGGGCCCCTGCAGGGAGCTGAAGGCTGCCATTACACCTCCCTCAGTCTTTTCTTCCCCAGACTAAATAAGCCCAGTTCCCTCAGCCTCTTCTCACCAGTCATGTGCCTCAGCCCCCAAGTCATTTTTGTTGCCCTCCACTCAACTCTCTCCAATGTGTCTCTGCCCTTTCTGTAGTGGGGGCCCACAGCTGGACACAGGACTCCAGACGTGGCCTCCCCAGTGCCGAATAGAAGGGAATAATCATTTCCTTTGACTTGCTGGCAACACTGCTACCAATGCAGCCCAGGATGCCGTTAGCCTTCTTGGCAACAAGGGCACACTGCTGGCTCACTTCAGTTTCTTGTCCACTGTCACCCCCAGGTCCTTTTCTGCAGAGCTGCTACTTAGCCAGTCAGCCCCTAGCCTGTACCAGTGCATGAGATTGTTCTGTCCCAGGTGCAGGGATGTCACACAGGGGTTCAGCAGCACATGGCAGAGCAAATCCCCACACAACTGCGTGCTGCTGATCCCAGGCACCGCAGGCTGGATCCTATCCTACCTCTTCACAGTCTGGATCCAACTTGCAGGCTGCAGGTTGCTGACCTCCGATCCAGAGGCAGCAAGAGTTGGATGTGCCTGTTCTGCGTGTGAAGTTAAGTGGCTTCAGCTACACAGAAATGAGGCTGTGAATCTCAACAGCCACTTGGCCAGAGGGGCAACAATATGCTGCCTCTGGGTGATGTGTAAGCAAGGAAAACTACCAAAAAGTGAAGAACTAACCAATCCTGACTCTTCTGAACTGTCAATTGTTGCAGAAAACCAAGAATAAATTTCTGTTTGTTATTGTCTGTCTACTTATGATTATATGACTGATTTAAGCACCTTGAGATAGGAACTCTGTCACTGCACAATCCCTGAAGCTTGGAATACACTATTGGCACAATATAAGCCATCAGAAAAAAGATGAATTAAACATGCTCACGTGTGATGCCCACAAAACAACATACTTGAAAGAGCATTTAACAAGAAGAAGTTAACAAGAGAGATCTCTCTTCCTAGCTGAAAGCAAGGGAATAAACCCTGGAGGTATTTTTCTGCTTAAAATCAGGTCTGGCTGAAATTACATCATATTGGAAAAAATGATCTTGTCATGTCCCATTATCCCGGATAAAGCTAGCAAGTGACTGGGCTTTTGCTATAATGAGTCCTAGGACATGAGTTATAGTATTCCTTGCAGTCCTCTAAACTGCTTGAGAAATAAGACAATAATGATGGTTAGTCAGGGTGGTTTACTCGGGGATGATCCTACCTTGGCCAGGGTAGATGGATAAGAGCTGGTAGCTGGATAAGATGACCTCATGAGGTTCCTTCCAGCCCTCCTTTTCTGAGACTGTTTGTCATATGTCTGGAGTTGTGCAATAAATTATTGTTAAAAATAAATTCCACTGGGGCTTTCTCTGAGATTATGCAGGTACGGTACAGAAGTAAATCTTTTTTCCTGTGATACTGGTACAAGCCCCAAGACAGATGTCCTGTGACCTGTTACCCAACTGTCTTAGCTGGTCAAGGTCCCAGGGATTGTGGTGTGTATAAGATAGGTCTCCTCTGTTGGATCGGTTTCACAGGAGCTGTTGAGATGTCCCGTCGGAGCCCTTTTGCCTCCTGGCTTTCTGCTATGCTCTACTGCTTTGGAAGTTATATTCTTGCTGATCTGTTACTTGGAGATTCACCTATTGATTATTTCAGCAATAACTCCAGCGTGCTCCTAGCCACAGCAGTCTGGTGAGTTTACTTGTGAGATGCAACACTAAACTGTCTGGAGATTGAGGGGATTAGACAGGGAGGGGGTATGGATTAGCCTGCAAGTCTCTTGTATTCCTGGGCTTGATTTTCAATTCATCTGACCGCTGACCTAAGAAAAGGTTTACTAGCTGGCCTGGAGTCAGTCTGCTCAAAAGTAAATTGTCTCAATTCATTACTGCTACAAATGGATTGTGCTCCCCATCCCCCCCCCCCCCCCCC